CCAAAGCGAAAGCCCTCCGCCACTTGGCTGCGCCTAGAAATCCTGTCCATAAAAATTATGAACAGAACCGGAGACAAAGGGCAGCCCTGGCGAAGCCCATCACCCACCGGGAACGAGTCCGACTTATTGCCGGCAATAGCTGAAATTCATCATTGGAAATTAAAATGAAATTAACTAATATAAAACTGTATTGCTTTCAGTGTTTTAAATAAAATAAAATCAGTGTTTTAAATAACACACTGAATTCATGTGGGATTTGTTTGCTTTTTATACATACGTAGCAGAAATGACACTTACAATACAGGTGTACTGTATTTTAAACCACAAATCTTTCACCTTAACACTAAAGCTAACTTTAAACATTTATTTATTTATTTATTCATTTATTATTTTTCAAGATTACAGCTGAACATCAATTGCAATGGATCCAACAATGGCATTATCACTCAGGAAAACACTCCAGTGGGATCTAAGATTGTCTGTGATAAGGACAGGACTGTCATTCCCGTGACCCCAGTGCTTTTCAAGGCCTTTATCAAAGTATGTATTTCTTAAAGACGGGAACATGCCTTGAAATGTATTCTTTATGAATGCGCTAAACTGGCTCATTTCCTGAGCCAGTTTATGAGCATATTTGCATTGTGTATAAATAAAATATTAAAACAGCTTTATCTAATAATTTAAATAAAAAAAATCAAAAGTTTTCAACCCTAACACAATACATAGGCATGTAATGAATGCTATTTTGAATTTCACATTACTTTGGACCTTTTTCTTTGTTGTTCTCATCCTACAGATTTGACATAATTCCTTAAATACAATGAGTACTTGTCTCTCACACATAGTACATTAGAAACGGTATAAATCTTGCTCTTTTTGTAATGTGTAATCTGTTGATGTCAATTCCAGGAAAATCCTTTCTCAAAAAAGATATGGGACACTTGTTCAGTTGTTGGGAGCGCTGGGATTCTGACAAACAGCGGCTGTGGAAAAAGAATTGATTCAGCTGATTTTGTTTTTAGGTGAGAAATATGTCAAGTGTATAGAACCAAAATCATGATGACAACTCATCTCTCTGTAAGAAATATTTTGTTGTGTTTTCAGGTGCAACCTACCTCCTCTGGAAAATGAATTTAAGAATGATGTTGGCATAAAGACTAACCTTGTGACAGCAAACCCAACCATCTTCATAAATAAGTGAGCAAACATTTATTCTAACATGGAACTGAATTGGGGTTTTTTTTGTCTTGTTGCTTTAAGCGTTGTTGTTTAATTTGCAGGTATGGGTCACTGACGGGACGTCGCCGGCCGTTTGCAGACAGCCTCCACCAGTATGGCAACTCCCTGCTCCTCTTTCCTTGCTTCTCCTTTGGTTTTAGTAGGGGTGTGTGTCAGCGGGCTGTGTATGCCATTGAGGACATGAAAATGCCTATTCAACCAATCTTCTTAAACCCTCTGTACCTTGAAAGACTGGTCAAATTCTGGAAATCCCAGGGGTTAAAGGAATATCGACCTAGCACTGGATTATATATAACTAGTCTGGCCCTGGAATTATGTGAAACAGTGCATCTGTATGGATTCTGGCCCTTTAGTAATCACCCAGATAGTCTCTTTCCCCTAAATAACCACTACTATGATAATGTACCATATAATGCAAGAGTCCATTCAATGCCAAATGAGTTTTACAACTGGGTACAGCTGCACAATAAGGGTGTGCTCAAGCTTCACCTTGGAGACTGCAAATCAGGTCAGGTCTAGTTTAAATGATGGAATAAAAAAAATGCTTAAGTGTCCAACTGCGAAGCCAAGACATTTTCACTGAAATCAATATGTATTAGTCAGAAGTAGGCTACATATTACTTTAAAAGTCTTACAATATATCTCCAAATCTCTTTAATCTTAAAACTGGTGACTCGCGGGAATTTCTCTGAGCTTCACAGCTTCTAGTGTATATCAAGAAATTTAATATCTCACATTGAACATTAAGAAAACAATATCTGTTTGCTTTTCATTTTTAAAAACCTTTTTCTAGAATTAGATCTAAATGTGAGTGTCAGTTATTTTAGTCGGTTTTTTTTAGAACAAGCTACCTGACTTGAGATCAATTACTGTCCGTACATTCAACACCAGATTCTAAATCTTTCCATTCACACAGGCCTACAGTTAATAGGTTTTGTTGTTCTGTTTTATTTTATTTTGTTCTGTCGTTTTCCCTGCCATTGTAAATTTGCCTATTTTCTTTACATTGGTGTTCACATTGTGTTTCCATGTAATGAAATGTACTATGCAAATTAAATTGTCATTGTCATTAAAGGGGCTATAAACGCTGCATTCATACATGCTTTATCTATACTAATAAAAAATTGCAGGAATGCGAATACCACTACCAAATTTATCATCTGCTTTTAGTCACTTCACTGTTACTACACATCATAGAGTGGTATTACTTTACTAGTGGTGACTTTTAGTGCTGTACCAAAGATGTTCCCCTTCAGCACTGACTGTTGACAGAGCACTTTCAAATAAAAACAGTAAATGTTGTATTAATTTTATATCTACAGCAGGTTTACAGTTTTAAGACTTTAAGTGCTCAGAGAATATATCACCAGTGTCAAAAATGCCATGTCAAGCTAGCTTTTACTAGATGGAACTTTAAAACAGATGTTGCTGTGAAACATTGTTTATTTAGAAAATTCCATCATATTGCACATAAATCCAGTTTAGTAGCTGTCTAAAGGAGTTATTTATACGATGAAAACCTGATTTATAGTAATAAATAGCTTAATTAAAGTAATACCTTTACTTAAATAATGAATAAATTTGTATTCATCTACGTAAATAAGTCATCAGTAAAAACAAAACCCAAAACTTTATATGCTAATTTTATAATTCTGCTACATCTCAAGAAGTCTGTTAATAATAGATTTTATTTTACACTAAAACAAAATGACTCTCGATGGCAGATATTAGATTCATAAACAATACATTTACTGTATCGAAAACATATGAAGCACTTTTTTATCTGAACAAAATATTAACTGTTAATGTTCTTTGATTAAACTGATACTATTGCAATGAGCTGAAAAATCATAAGCAGAAAAGCAATCAACTACAGAAGTTTGGAAGAATATCTGTGTAAGAGTGCAACTGACCCTAATCCAAAGACATCAAACAAAATGCTATGTTAAGTTTGTTCAAGATGTTTAAGTTAAGTTTTAAAAAAAGAATAATAATAAGTAGGCATGTCTTGATGGATGCTCAATCATCCAGGTAAGGAAATGCAAGTGGCAGATGGACACACTGAAAAAAAGGGATTGGCCATCTCTTGAATTTATGTAAGCATCTTGCGTGTTCTTGTTGTGTTCTGTTCTTGCATAAGGGAAAAGAAGAAAAGCATAGATGCATTAAATTAATGGACTAATATGTTAACATTCAGTTCATTAAATTTATTTAGCACCTGTTCACAATGCCAGTGATCCCAAGGAACTTTATATTTTAAGGCACAGACACTGCACACAGACATATCTAATGATGAGACATCATCTTATTAGGACATTTTGGAAAGGAGGAAATGTACCACTGGATAAGGGGAATTGCAGGATGAAGAACTGTGAATAGGATGAGATGATAACAGAAATGAGCAGCAGCAAGAAAAGAATCATTAAGCAAAAGATAAAGTATAAATAGGGGATGCTTCAGGGCACAGTGATTTTAGGTTAAAACTTTTAAGCAAACTAGAAATAGAAGTATGTTTATATTATGCTAGTAAATTATAAAATACAAAATTAACACATCCCACAAAAGTCAGCTTTATTTCCTACATAAAATTACATGCACAATGTACACAGATGTTACAGATCATTTGAGCTGTCTTTTGATGTCATTGATACATCAAACAACTCTATACAAAGCTTGTTGTGTTTGACTGAACATTTTGTGTTTCACAAAAAATAATTTTCTGGAAGATACAACTTTTGAACTAATTAAGAAAATAAAATAACAGAGAAAAACTGTAACATCAAAACAAACCGCCACAATAAAATCACAGCCTATTTCTCCATTAAACCTCTAGAAATTTAAATTGACTATAAAAGCAAAGTCAACCACTAAAATGCAACATGGTAAATAATTATGCAGATATACCTGGATTACATATTACTCTTTTGTCAATATTTGATATATAAGCTGAAAAAGCAGAAATGAAAACTGAAAATCTGCAACCAATAGTAACCAAACAATATGAAGTATTCAAATGCAAGAAAATACATTTGATTACCTCACATCATTTACATTTTCTGCTAATGTTAGAAGTTTACATTTTGTCTGGAAAGCATTTATACTGACACTTCAGTTTAAAACAGATTAATTTCACTGTCAGTGCAGTTCCATGTTTCAATTTTGCAATACATGCAGTCAGGGCTGGACTGGGACAAAAAATCGGCCCGGGCATTTTGACTAGAGACCGGCCCATCAGGTATTATAGGAAAACCATAAAGCCTTTGAATGAAAAGCAAAATATTTTTTCTAACATGGCAACCTTTAAAAAGTGAAAGGAGACAGAAAGACAGGTGAGAAAGAATAAAACTTAATTGACTTTTTGATGGCATTTTACACACAGTACTGGTACAGTATCTAGAAAATGTGGGAAAATACATCTTATACAATACAGTACACTACTTCTGAAGAAATTATGATGGGACCATAAAATAAATTACTATGTACAATAATGGATTTCTATATATTTTACATCAGATGAAAACGTTTGTTGTAAGATTCAGATAATTATTTGTTAAAAGCGAGACATTTTAAATGAGAATAAGAAAATATTTCTTTGTGCCCCCTCTCCTTGTTAATGCCCTACCTGCCCCCCTGGCAAAACTTTGCTAGATCCGCACCTGCACAGTTACCAGCTGTCAGCTACTTAGAAAAGGATCCTGGTGTTATTTGTCAGAAACAGTTCATAACTTCCCTTCAACTCATTCCTGTCACCTAAAAGGTAAACCTGTTTCTCCATCACCTGTTCAGCTCTGATGATCCAGTAAGGACATCTCCTGGTTTCATCTTCATGTTTCCCTCTCACCAGATAACCAAACTGACATCATGACCAGCAGCTTTTACAGCTGTGGCTCCAGCAAACATCAGCTGATACTAGAAAGTAATATTAAATAAATTCTAACAACAGCCGATCAAGCTTAAACGTGCTGCGACATCCGCTGGTTTCCCCTTTCTGGCACAGAGTGAGCGATAAACAAACAAGAGAGAAAACCCAAAAAAAGTTTCATTATTGAAGTAGCAACAGGAGAGAGAGGGGAGAGAATGAGAGAAGAAGAGGCAGCTGTGCAGCAAAGACACAGAAAAACTCCAGCTTTGTGCCTTTTTGATTGTAGCTGAAGTTCGAGACAAACTGCTCCTTTTCAGCTCAATACGAAACGCGTAATATTTTCTCTGAATATTTGCCAAAAACATGTTGATGAGCCCCAAGAGTTTTTTTTTTAAATATTTTTTGGACTGACGAGAGAAAATCAGAAATATTTGGAAGGTTTGCGTCCCATCACATCTGACAAGCTACTAACACAGCACTTCAATAAAATTAACAGGCAAACATAGTTGTGGTAACGTGATTGTCAGAGCCAATAAGTGATATAGCTATGAATGCTCTGGAGCTCAAGCACACTTTGGTTATGCAGAATTTGGACAAAGATCCAAAACACAACAACTCCACATCTGAATGTCCAAAAAATTTTAGAGATTACAAGATTTTAGAGTTTCCTACTTAATTTCTAAACTACAATGTTGGCATAACTTAAAACAGGCCATTTATGCTGAAAAACCCTTCAATGTGACCAAATTAAACCAATAGTAAAAAATAAAGAGGCAAAGAGTTCATCTGCATTAATGCTCTTGACTCAATCCCAGCTATTGTCGATGCTTGATTTTAATCTATGGAAATTTACCCACAGAGATGCACTTTAAAATAACATGAGTGATAATAATCATAGCATCTTTGCTTTGGATGGTTTAGTTTGCATCATTAATGAGATATTACTGCTCGATCGTCTTTTGCTTTTGATAAAACCACAAAAGGAGTTGCAGAAAAATAAAACCAGCTACCATAATGAGTAAGACTGAGCATCACATATTGTCTCAGTCTTTGGAAAGTACACATAGTTGTTTTTTTAAATCTGGTAATCAGAAATCTTGATCAGGTCAGTGTTGCTTTTAGTTCTTTGCTTTTGACTCAGTTCTTTGATACAGCCTGAGTATTTCCCTGTTATGAAGGTCTTTCCATGTATTCTTCTCCAAAATGTAGTCATGGTTGGCGTAGAAAATGACTTTGCTCATGTTTTTCTCAACATAGTAGTTAGGATATTTGACGTAGTCGTCAGTCATGAATCCATATGCATCCACCTGAGGAAGACAGAAA